CAGCAGGAAAGCGTGTGTTGGAGGCGTGAGATGGGGAAAGGAGTTTTGCCTTTTTCTACCTGTCGGTTTTGTCCTCTCCTCACATAGAAGTCTTTTTAGTCAGTAACAAACAGTGGTGACAGCCGCACCCGACAGACCTGGGGGCTTGTTCATGATTAGCTTGGACGGTACCTGTCAAGCTGACAAAGTTGTCTTGATGTCTTCCCAGCATCATTTGGACACTCGGGGCTGAAGTTGCGAAAGCACTTGGGCACTGGTCTGCAAAGCTGTACCTGCATTCATAACATAAAAGACTGACAGTGGCCTGGCTCAGTTTTCTCCGGAAAGTGGATCACGGGGAATACATGGTTTTGCTTTGTGTCATTTGAGGAGGAGACTGAGACAGTGTGCAACAATGTCAATTTAACATGTTAAAGCTGGCATCAGACTTGGACCAGACTGCTGGGCATCCTATGGGGTGATTTTAACACACTGGTGGACGGAGGTGTCCGAGTGCTTGGAAATACCTAGTGTCCTGGATGCTTGATAACGTGCAGGCAAGAAATATATAGTAGTAAGAATGTCTGTAATGGTGTATAAATATTAATGCAGTGTATGTTGGATGTTTTCATACCTGGATGTGTGCTGAGCATATCAGCATGGGACCAAAACTCTACTAGGGCTCTTCTCCAAAGGTAGGAAACAATTAAGTAATCATTTGGTAACCCCAATGAACAGCAAAGGCTGTTCATCCATCCAGTCATCAGATTTTTCCTGTCCTCCCCTCCTTCTGCACACACACTTGCTGAGGCACATGAAAAAGAGGACATTACTGTTGAAACCTGTGTGATTCCTACCAATTGAACATGGCAGTTTCTCAGAGAAATCACACTCAGTTGAAGGACAGTCCTTAACTGTGCTGTTCTTGTGTGTGAGGAGACAGACTATTGTGGGCTCAGGAAATTCGAGTGGATTCTCGTGCACTAATAGTGGGCAAATCTATCGGTCCCTCACCCAGAGGGCTGGGGAGAAGCCATGTGGTGGAAACCACAAGTCTGAGCCTCAGGGACAAGGTAGGAAATGCAGGAGAGGGAATTGATCCCGTTCAATTTTACCTCTCCACCTCCTTCAAGTGGAATAAAACTACAAAGAGGGTTTGGAGCTAAGACCTTGCTGGGAAACTGGAGACAGTGTCCAAGTGAGAGGTAGAACAACTGCACTGGGATTGCACGTTCATTTGACACATGTTCCTGTTCTGTGGTTTATACCCTGAGCGTGAGCTGGGCATACAGTAACGATGGAGTGGGTACCAAAAATTGAGGGTGCTCAGAAAAGGATTGGGCAAATTCCTGAAAGAGAGAGCCTTTGTGTGGTTCACAGGGAGCCTGAGCCATAGATACGTGGAGCCTAGAGGAAGATACTTAGGTGATGTCATTGTGTACATGCCCTTTTCTGATGCTTTTCTATATGTGCCAGGTTGGCAAATACTGGTGACAGGCTCCTGGATGTTGTGTCTGACTTTATCGGTGTGTCCATTCTCCTCTGTAACTAATACTCTGTGGAGGTGTGAAGCTCGAGTTCCCACCTGACGTGGGGGTCTATGGACTGTGGCAGATGTGAGGTGGAAATGCTGGATTCCAAACAGCCTATTTGCCGAGAATGTGATAGAAGCTTTGCTGCTTGTAGCCAATAACGTTTCATCTTCAGTAACAACAAAAATGTGCTTTGCCATTTCCGAAGAATAAAGGTTATATTTGGTGTCAGGCTTTTCGGTGTAAGCAGTGTAAATAGTACTGAAGGATGCATCGAATCATTGTTTGAACTGTATCAACTGGGGTGCACTCTTTAAAATACGATTGTTTTGATCGTTCCCTCTGTTTTTTTTGCAGCTTTTCCGACGCGTGGCAGCTGCCTTGCCTGGGATGGAAAGCACACAAGACAAAAGTAGAGAAGACAGTATCCTTTATGCGCCTGTGCTGCGATTCAGTGGTGGCAAAGCGCTGCCAGGCATTGCTGTGGACGAGGAAAAGGCAGGCCCTGAATAACAAGGATGAAGAAGGAGGAGGCAATATCCCTCCTGCAGCCCTCGGTCAGCTCATGGACATCCCAGAAAGAGGCCTGAGAGAGGGAAGAGGGGCAAGTAACCTTCGAGCTTGAAGTACTGAGGAAGAAGACTTGGTGGGATAGAAGGGCTGGGACTAGGGGTGTTAAGGGTGGAGGCCTCTGCTGCAAAGCGGAGGAAGGAGGGCTGCTTAGGGATATGGGGTAGTATAAAAGTGAGGACAACTGGGTGAAAGCTGAAGAGAGGACAACAGGAAGGTGCCAAAGGCTGCAAACAGATCCAGAAAGATTCTTTGCTTGCTGATTGGGCAGGTTGGATGTGGGGTGGGAGGGGGGAGACTGTGAAGTGGGAGAAAACAGCTGTAAAGAGGCCTGAAAAAAACTATGTGGCTCTTGCAGAGCAGACACTTGGGTCTGACTTGCAGAATCCTAGAATAAGCTAGGTTGGAAGGGACCTCTGTAGGTTCCTTCTCTAACTCTCCTCCTCAAAGCAGGGCTAACTCCAAAATCAGCCAGCTTCTCGGGGCCGTGTTCAGGGAGACTTCAGAAATCCTCGAGGATGGAGACCCCATATCCTCCCATATCCACTGCAGCATGCTGCAGTGCTCGACCCCAGCCAGCTCTGGGCAGGCATCGGTGTGGTGCGAGGGAGAAGACTTGACTGAAGGGATCAGCCTTGGGGAAGGGAAAGGAGGTGGCATGAGGGATGGAAAAGGGATAAAGCTTTCTGGATGACAAGCAGTATGGCTAAAACTGAATTTCTTACCTGGCCAGCTGGGTGTGTTTTGGGGAGGGCAGTTAAGCCCGTGATGGTGTTTTTGCGAGTGGCTTGTGAGGAAACTTTCTTGAGAAGAGAAACTTCTTCAGGGTTGCTTAGTTTTATTTACAGCAGGGATCACATAGCTGGCAGCTGGTAAATGGAGGAGAATGGTGCTTTGGAGGAAGGAGGAGTTTGTGGGGGGACAAGCTTGGTGCTGAAACCTCATCTCCCATAGAGCATCTTATAGCATGTGGGAAAGGAAGATTTGGGAAGCTGTGGAATTGCAGCTGTTAAGGCACAAGCTTTGTGCAATATGGACTTGACTGATCAAATATATTTTGTTACGCAGGTCACCAAAGGCTTAATGAGCACCAGTCGTCGTTAATAAGAATGGTGGTAGAATGCACAGGCACTGGCTGACGGGCCTGCAGTTTCCCTATCAGGGAGTTTGATCACCAGCCTCTAACTGGGAGTGCAATAAGGGCACTTTGAATTTGACTTCCTGCAGGCTGCAGATAGCAGAAATTGCATGTGATTGTCGCCCAGAGAGCTGCGCTAGGATTAGTGGTGGGGGATTTTCCATAGGCTTTTTTGTGGAACATTGGGGGTTCAAGGATCTTGAACTGCTCAGTGATGAAGCTGGCAAGGCTCATTTCGAGTGTCTCTGACTCTTAAATATGTGTTGAGGTTTAGCTCAGTGGAACAAATGGACCAAATATTTGGGATGAATTATTGGTCTTTTGTTTCCCTTTTTGTGTTTATTTTCTCCTAACCTCTGTAAAAACCAACTTCAACCCCCTAAAGAAAGAAGTTGGAAGTAGCAGCTGTGTGATCTGTTTGCCTCTGTGTTAACTGATCAGAGAAATGCTTGAGACTTGTGAGCCAGGTTTGGGAGTTAGTCTTCAAAGCTCCTCCTGTGAAAGGCTATGTAAGTGGTGTAACTGTAGGGCATCCGCTGAGGAATTCGAGTGCCACAAAGGGAGTAGCTTATCGCCGGCTGGTTCAGAGCAGCAAGCTCTCCAGCGACCCGATGTTCTTGTTGGATATTAGCTGTCATTGCGAGGGGTGAGTTCAGGGAGGCAGCGTGGGTTTTGTTGGCTGGTGGCAAGGTGAGCAGAGCTGTTTAACTAGAGGGAGGATTGATGGAGAGGTTGGGGACGGCATGTTCAGAGCATGGCATCTGCGAGCTGTGGGTGATGTGAGTACTTGGGGTTAGTGATGGGCGCAGCATGAGAAGGAATGACCTCGCTAGAATACGCTGCTGGGGGATTCTCTTAGCAGAGCACATGCTGCGTGTCTCCATTCAAACCCAAACAGGCGCTCCTGCCTGCCCCAAAGCTGAGCGCGGGCAGGGGAGTGAGAGGGAAATACTTGCCTGTTGGCTGTGAAGTGTAGAGGAGCAGGATTTTGAGAAGGAAGCGAGCTGTCCTTCCCTGGATTCCTCCAGGCTCCTGCTTTCTCCAGGGCTTCCTTGTTCTTTGAGCCAGTGGGTAGAGCTCCTCCTGGGTGCCCACCAGGTCAGGTGCTGCTCGGTGCTGGAAGACTGAATCTAGTGTTGATTTGAAACTGGGCGTTTCCAGGCCCACACAGAGACCTTCTTGCAGCCTTCCAGTACTTAAGGGGGCTTATGAGAAAGATGGGGACAGACTTTTTATCAGGGCCTGTAGTGATAGGACAAGGAGTGATGGTTTTAAATTGGAAGAGGGCAGGTTTAGAGTAGATCTAAGGAAGAAATTTTTCACAATGAGGGTGGTGAGGCACTGGCCCAGCTTGCCCAGAGAGGTGGTGGATGCCCCATCCCTGGAAACATCCCAGGTCAGGCTGGACGGGGCTCTGAGCAACCTGCTTGAGTTGGGGATGTCCCTGCTTATGGCAGGGGGTTGGACTAGATGGGCTGGAAAGGTTCCTTCCCACCAAAGCCTTCTGGGATTCTAAGCTGTTACTGGTTCCCTCTGAAAACGGTGCTGAGACCCTGCAGCATATACATCTTTAATTACTATAGCAATCATTTTGGAACAAGAAGAGATCCCTGGGAAAGAGCAGACGCTGGTTAGAGCCAGACATTTGAGGTCTGACATTGTTTTTGCTATGTACTTAAGAACATGCCAGTACCAGGGCGAGAGGGGCTGCTGAGAAACCTGTGCCTTGCCTTTGGTTTGAAGCTGGTCTTTTCAAGAGCTTCTGAAAATACTTCTTGTGTATTTTGGTGGGAAGTAGTTGAACTGAAAATGCCAGAATCCTGCCCTACCTGTGCTTGGTAGGGAGACCGAATTGGATATCTGTTTGCCTTAACTCCTTTCTTCCAGTGATTGACATAAAACTGGAAAAGCCTCAAGAGCAGCCTGTCAGTGAAGGAGGCTGTTCCTGCTAATACCATGTGGCTTCTACCTTTCTCCAGAACATCACTGCTTTCCCTCCCTTTACTCTTCATTGACTGCAGTGTGAATATTGGCTTGAACCTTCCCCTTTCAGTAATAACGTATTGCAGTTCATCATCGCTGGCTGTCTCGTGGAGATGATCTATTAGCTTCACAAGCACACACACAAAGAAAATGTCAGTGTCTTCATTATTTATAAGAAAAAAAAAAAAGCCAAAATATTCCAGTGTATTCTAGTTATAACTTTAAAAACAAATAGGTACAATTTCTTAATATTTGTTCCTTTTTTAATATGTTATGATATTGCACTTTGAAATGATGGAAACTGAGTAAGTTTTGAATTGGACTTAGATGAGATGTATGTGCAGAAGAACGCTTGCAAATCTTACCCATTCGATTTCTCTAACAAACTGGAAATTACTAGTCAGCAGTCAGAAATGCAAGCGGAGCTGGCGTATGCCAAGGGTTAAATGCTTCTCCTTAAAATAATAAAAAAAATTAAAACCAAGCTCTTAAATCTCTTGAGCAGAGATAGTCTGACTGACTTTCAAACCCCCAAACGTTTTTTTGGAAACCAACCTTAGCGGGGGGGCGAGTTTCGACACTGCAAAAAGCTACTGGATTTTATTTTTTTTTCTTAGTTCTTGCAGAGGCAATGTGAACACATTTCCAAGAAAGCATACCGAGAAATACCAAGTGTCTTTCCGAATGGGATGAATGGCTTCTGGAGGATTTGGGGGGGAAGGAGAAGGTGGATGTGCATTAGCAAAACACTTGCAGGAAACAGGGAAATATGTTTTGAGTGCAAGATGAGTTTTAAGAACATTTTTTTTTTTCCTTTTATGTAGAACACCAATGAAGTAAATTATTATTGCCCGAGAGATGGGGACATAATGTTTCAGCTGTTTGGAGGAGAAAGCGTTTTGCTGCTTTTTTTTTTTTTGTAGGAGAAGTCTTAAGTGAATTCAGGACTGGCACTAAAACCTGCCGAAGTGGATTTGAACCTTTAAATTGGGCAGAAAAAGGAAAGAGCAGCTGGCTTACCCAGTGGAGATGCTGTGCTCACAGGCCAGTTCACGACTGGGAGAGAGGGGGCGGCGGAAGGGGGGATCGCACCCGCTTTTCCGTAGCGTGGTCGTAGGTCGACTGGGGAAGGGGGTGTTTACTTTGATCGTACAGCAATCTAGTTGAGAGGTCTTAGATGGAAAGGAAGGGAGTTTGATAGGGTGGAAACCAACTTACGATGATGCGGATTTTATGCCTTTATTTTTTAGCATTTTTTTTACGTTCAGTCTTCCAAGTTGGTTTAGTTTCGTTCACTAGAGCTGTATAGTTTGGTTAAATAACTAGTAATTTAGTTTTCTATTTAATTAGGCTTATAATTAACCATTTTTTCTTTGATATTTATTTCTTTGCTTAATTTTTTTACTATTTTCAGTAATTATTTTTTGTTTTGCTGAGGAATCTGTTTAGAGCTTTGCTGATGTTGCGAGATGTAGCTACCTGAGAAACACGGAATCGAACACACTAGAAGTGCACCCTTTTAATCTTTACTAGTCATTGTGAAGTTGCTGTGTAAGTTAATAAACACAACTGTAAATACATTGTTTGCTGGGCGAATTATGGCTGAGTTACAGTGCAGGAAGGAATTCTTGAGTCTGTGTTGCGATTGCTACTTAAACGAACAATTGCAAAGCAAATATTCAGGCTCCTCCTTTGTTCTCTTCTGCCCTTCTACCATCTAAAATTACCAACCGGGGAAGAGAAAGGGAATTATTCTCACCACCACTTTCACCAGGGCATAAAAGAGTTGGAATTCTTCATTTCTGAAATGAATGCTAGACTCGTGCCCTGCCCTGGGTTTATAGCTACTCTGCACAACAATAACTTAAAGGCAGAATGAGATGTAAAGTGCTTTTATAATGCAATATTAAAGGCGAGTTTTTTTTGACGTGGCATGTCTTGAAATAAACATCAATGATATGTGACAAAGGATCATTCTTTATTTAAAAGAAGCTCTTGGGGGGAAGGAAACCTGGCTACTTTTCCTGTATTGTACTGTTCTTAACTGTGCAAAAATGGTTCATCTTGCTGCTTTTTCTTTTTTTTTTTTTTCTCCTTTGGTTCTTCATGCAGCTTATGTTGGCGATCATTTGGCTGTTTTCCACAAGCACATACTTTTTTTGCTTTGGATCAAACCAAACCCCTACCTTTCCCATAGCGACAAGCTTTAAGCACTGGATTTGCAAAGAGCTGACTTAGCACAGGTTACGCTGGACGAGCGGCTCGGCGGCTTTTAATGGAAGCTGCTTGTGGAGAGCAGCTGCACGTCTGGGAGCGGGTTCGTTCCATGGGCCCGTTAAAATTTGCTCTAAAAGCTCTAGAAAGGAGCGTGGCCATGAGCTCTGTGTTCAACACAGCCCAGTGGCTGCAGGAATGGGTAAGTTTGTCACTTACTCCCCAGGAGGGCCCTGAGGTCTGCTCAGGACAGTTAAACTTGCGTTTAAGATATGTCCTTGCTGATAGTCAGTGCTTAACGTGAGTACAGGACTCGATCCTCTCCTCGATCCCAGTTTTCCTGAGAAAAGACACTTCAAAGTGAGCGCAGGAGCAACACGGTTTTATTTTTTTTTGCACCATAATTCCCTGTGCCATCTGTCTGTCAGGTTTTAAGTTTTCATTTTATTTTGCTCCATCAACATGGCCAGTAGAACCACAGGAAGAGACTTTTTTTAATGACAATTTTGTAAACAGTGAAGGTTTCTGCTCTGTTTCTTTTCTCCTCCCCACTCCGGCTTGATTGTTGTACAGTACATTTTGCAGCTATTCCATTACTCACTTTTTGTCTTGATAACAAGTAGTTGAAGAAATTGTATAAGGGGAAAAAGGTTCCTTTTCTTCATGTTGGAATGTCACTGGTACCTCAGCTCTGTTTGATAATATGAAACAACAACAACAACAAAGAAATCTTTAGCGCTTGAACTAAATAAATACCTGTCTCATTGGAAAGCTCTGGGTCTCTTCTCTAAGTATGTCCATCAGAAGGCAGATTCCTGGGGGTGCAGGGCATCAGGCTGCTGCTGCTTGCTCGTGCTCTTTGGGTTTGAAGTGCTGCAGGAGGCTTTTTTTTAAGGGCGAGAGGTAAGCTGCTTTTTTTCTCTTGGAGGAAAGGTAGTGGAGTTGTGTGCTTACCATCCCTCCAGTTCTATACGGCGTCTCTGCGACTGTTTCCAGCGACCAGCGAGTGATACGGAGGACGGGTACAGGGAGCACGTCCTCTGCTGCGACTGTGCCTTGCTGGTCCTTTCTCGCTCTTGAAACGCAGCCGTTTTCCTCCCTTCCCTTTGGCAAAGGTGATTCAGGTGCATTGTGCGGCCTCGCCGCTGCCTGCTTCAGCTTCCCTGGGCGCCTGCTCGGTGGACCAACCCCACCTTCCTTGAGGAGGATCCTGCTTAAGCCTCCATCTTGCTGGAGATGGCAGACGAGGGCTGCGGGGACGGGTAGGTGAGTACCAGTACCAGATGCTCTTTGTCTGGTGTTCTAGGGAAATGAAGTGGTTTTGGTCTGGTAACGCGAGCAACCTAGTGTCTGTCACTTATTCAAGCTCTTCTACATTAAAAGGACTGTCAATAGTTCCCCTCTCAAAGGTGGGTTTAGGATTAATCCGTTGGAAGGAGCTGAACTTCGTGCCAGCGGGTGTTGTCTCCCGGGTAGCACTGCAGCCGGTTGGTCTCGATTCCTCCTTAACTGCTCTGCGTTGCCGTTGAATGACCTTAACGCTGCGCATGGAGCCTTGGGGCTGTCGCCTCAAATACCGTGCTCTCGATTTCCCACCCAGCAAAGGGAGCTGGATTAAACTGGAGAGGAAGGGGCTGTCTCTGGGCAAGGCATGGTCAGGGGCACCCATCAGCTCCGGTGTAGGGTGCTGGTCCTGGCTGCTGGCTCACAGCTGCAGCGGGTTGAGCTCTCTGCTCCCAACCTTGCTGCTTTTTTATTGGAAAGTCAGAGAGGGAGTGTCTGGCTTGGATTAGAGGTGCCTCATGCTGGTGGCTTTGTCTGCTCGGCTGGAAGGGTCAGCCCTGATTTAGTCAGGCTGCAGGAGCTGCAGCATCCTCCTAGCAGCGTCGGCGGAGCTGCTGCAGCAGCCCACGCCGTCCCCTCGCTGCACAGTGTCGGGTTTTGTGCCCAAATCCTCAGCAAACTAGACGCTGAGAGGGCTCTACCTGCTGCAGCAGCCCCTGTTTCCATGCTGGGCATGTACCAGCCCCAAAAGGAAGATAAATAGGGGGTGGGCAGGCTGCTTTTCACCGTGCTACCTGCGACGTGGCTGCGGCAGTCGGGAAGGCAGCTGCGAACGCCCGGACCTCAAAACAGCCTCTCCTGTCTGCGCCGCCTCCGCCGCTCTGGCGTTGCCTGAGCTGGGGTTTCCAGGCTTGCTGGGCTTGATTTTTTATTTTTTTTTTCATCAGTTTGCAAAAGGACCTATTTTTATTTTATCTTTCCCAACTCTCTTTAATCACCTTTCCCTTCCCCACCCTGCTCTACACGTGCGCCGAAGTCCAGCGCGGCTTTTTATAAGGTATTTGGGATCCTCTTGTAGCGGCTGAACGTAACAGAGTGCCCAGACTGATGCCGTAAACGCCTGGCTGAGGCGTGTCGGGAGTTAAACGCCTGCTGAATTGCAATGACCTGTTGGAGGATGAGGAGTAGGGCAGGGCTGAAGGCAGCTCCGGGGTGGAGGCAGCTGGGTGATGCTGCTGGGTTCGGAGGGAGGAGGCTCTCCGCGAGTGCTGTTTCCAAGTTGAATCTTCCAGGTTTGCCACCCGTTTCCAAGGTTTTGGGTATAAATTAAAGCCATTTCAAGTGTTTGCTGTCAGCTACCCGGAGAGCACGTCTGGAACCAGGATTGTGTTAAAAGCTTGATTAAAGTTACTGCTAATTAAAGCACTGAACTCGCTCTCTATCCCCCCTGTGCAGCCAGTCGGCCCATCTGTGGATACGGGGTGTTGGAGGGAGAAAATGGTGTTTATTGATGTCACGGGGCTGGCGCTGGACTTGGCACTGACCTTTGCCGTGTTTATCTGAGCTCGGGAAGAGGTGGATCGGTGGAAATTCGAGGCTTGATCCTGACGTTTGCCGAGCTGTAGCATCCTGCGATGCAGCTGTTTTATTTCCTGATAAGTGGTTTTTTGGTCGCAGCCAGGGTCACGTGAGCTCCAGCCGGTATCTTTGCTGTGATAGTCAGGGACTAATGTTAT